CCAAACCATGGAACTTGGTTAGTTGATGTATGAAACTTGACTTCAATTCAATTCCTCAGCGGTGTGCGGGATAAATAAAACTAAGAGGTGTGTGAGTAACATCTGTCTCCATCGTTTGTCTAAGTGTCAACTATTAAGGAGGATTGGGTGGATTGGGGTTATTGGGATATTGGTGCATGTAATTAGGAGGTTTTTGGTAATGTGGGTATGGGTATTGTTGGTGATTGTATATTTGTGATGGATAAGGTTGGTACTTAGGATATTGGTTGTATGGGGTTGTTGTTATGGGTACATAGGATGTTGGTACATTAGAGGTTGTTGGTAATGAGGCTAATTTGGTTGGTGTGCTTGTGATTGTTGAAATTGAAAAGCACTGTTTCTAAGTTGGTTTTTTTTTATGGAAGTTTTGGTTTTGTGGTTGTGGTTGTTGATAGTTCGGTTGATTTGGTTGGTGAGGGGGTTGATTCCAAGGTGGCATATCTATGAGAGGTTCTTGGTGTTGTTGTTGTCTTGGTTGTTGGGATGGGGTATTGGCATCTTGATTGTTTGGGTTTTGGGTTGGGGTTGTGAGGTGGAGTGTGATTCATGGCTATGAAGTTTTCAAACGGAATGTATTCAAAGGAATGACCAACAATTAGAGGACTCAGCTCGGTGTCGGTATCACTTCAAGTATGAACTTGATCTTGTATGTTGATTAGTGGAAAAGAGAAAGAAGCTTGAATGAGTTGTTGTTGCTTTGCTTGTTTGGCTAACTTTTTCAACATTTTGGCTTCTTTTTAAATCTCCGGATTGTAGAGTAGTTCACCGGTTTTTGTAGACCTAGGCATAAACAATCAAATAACAATAACCAATTTCCCCGGAAATAGCGGCAAAACTTGGTGAGCTGTCAAGTCCACCAAGCAAATTACACCCTTTGTTTGCAAATAAAATGTAATATAATGGTAAAAAGGGGTATCGATCCTCGGGAAAATGGTTATATTTAATCACCAATGCAATCCAATAGAACTAGTGTAAATAAGGTAACTAACTATAATTAAACTAAAAGGGGGGTGTTGTGATTGCTTGAAAACTAAAAGACTTGAATAACTAAAAAGATTGCAACTAAGCAAGATGATGAGATGCTCATATATTAGGGAGAATTGGTTAACCAAGGCAATTCAACACAATGAACATTTGTTTGTTTATCATTAGAATTCAGTATGAATCTTATCCTTCATCCCAAATTGGTTATAGCAATCATGAAGCATGATATGCTAAGATTCCTCATAGGTAGTATGGAGGTTGGGGAAGCCCACAACACACATTCTAAATCAAAATCAAGGACTCAAATGAAGCAAATGAACCTAAGAAGTTGATTAGCCTTAAGAATGAAGGAATCCCCAATTCCTAGAGGATGTCAATGCTTACACATCCATAAAGGATTCATGATTCATAAGCTAGATATGATTTCTACCATCATAAAGCCCTTGTTCTAAGTAAATTCAATAATTCAATGCTAAACCAAAGAAATAAACCAACAATTGCTCAGTCAAGTACCAAGCTCATGATCAAAGTATTAAACAAGCATAAGAAATATGAACTAGAATCATAAACATAAGATAAATGACAATTAAGCATGAATCCTTCAAAACCCCACAAATATCCAAGGGTTTTAGCAAAAGTTAACCAAAATAGAGAAATTAGCCACTCATGGCAACAAAATAACAATCACAAAAGTATAATTGCATCAAGAGACTAGCAATTACTTAGAAAGATGAGAAGAATGATTATCAAGCTCCAAAATCGCCTCTAATTGTCTCCAATGGTGGAAAATCGAAGTGTTTACTGAAAGATCCAACCCCCACGGTAAATGGTGAACAAAATGACCAAAATGCCCAAAAGTGTGTAGTTGCACGGGTACCCGTGCAAGTGTTGTGCGACTAAGACTCCACCATCGCAAGTGTTGTTGGAATGCTATTGGTCCATTCTTCTCCACTACCCACTCCATTACCTAAGATTCTGTTGGTCCCCTCCATGACTCACATGATTTGAATTTGGCCAATCACCTTCAAGCTTTAAATATGGATAGTCCATGCCCACAATAACAATCCATGATCTATCTTCAAAAGGCCACTTCATCCAAATCTTCAACTTTTTAAGCCCAAATCTCATTTGATGGATCCGTAAAGCCCAATAATGCATCGAAAAGCCCACCAAGACTAACGTCAGTCAAACCGCAACCGCAATGAGCTCCAAAACCCTACAAAATATCTCATGCAAAATAGAAAGTACCTGGCACGATTCATGATAAAGAAAATAAAGAATATACAATGCAATACTAACAAAAAGAGCTAAAAATACTAAAATAAATTAATAAAAATAAGGAAATAAAATAATCTATCAGTTACACATAAGTATGATGATCAAGTAAATGAATATGGTCTTCATTTTGATTGGTTCATTCCTTATTTTGTAAATTTGAGTTCAATTCAAGAACCTTAAAATTCCATAAAGTATGTTTATTATCTTGGTTTACAGGTGGGAAAGTACACAAGGTAGAATCACTTTCAGATAGTGGTAGCAATAGGCCAAAGGTGGTTGGGGCGGGCTTCCATATCCAAGTAAGGGGTGGCAGTTTTTGTCGCCTAAGAACATCTCAAATGGTTAACATATACTATAGTTTAAAGTTAGTGACACATCATCATTCCATTAACTTTAACCTCTAATTTAATGATCATTCGAATGGTTAACCTCTTCAATAGTTTTTTCTTTAAATTTAACTAATATATCTTTATTTATTTAAAATGTTCTATGTAATCCCCTCCATTGAGGTAGTCATTTTTAAACACACATCATGTTTTAAACAAATCAAAATATAAATCAAAATATACCGGGTCTCTATTTTATAAACCCAAAATACAAAAAAAATTAATAATATGTCATATTTATAATAAAATGGAATATATATATATATATATATATATATATATATATATATATATATATATATATATATATATATAATCGTTATATCTATATTTATAAATAAAATGTCACTAAATATTTGATTAATTTAATTAGCTAGTAAATAAATAACTAAATTGAATACTAAAATACAATTAAGGGTTAAATTAAAATATAATTAGAAAATGAGAGGGTAAACTATACAAAGGGTTAAATTCTATTGATTATATTGAGTGATCAATAAAAATAAGCAAAAAAGTCATGTGCTCCAATGGAAATAAATGATCAATATTAATAAGTAAATAGTAATAAGCTCAAAAATAAGCTCTCATTGAAGATGCTCTGAGACCAATGAGAAAGATGATAGAGAGAAATACGGGAGGCATGGCATGCAGGGCCGATCCAAGGGATGTTCAAGATGTAATTCTGAACAGGGCCTACTAGAATTTAGGGCCCAAAAATTTATTCAAATTTTGTATTAGGTTTTTTTTCATTAGGTTACAGAACATATGATGTGTCAGGGTTGAAAGGAAAATACGTGCAACATGAAACATAAATCAAATGAGCGGGAATCAGAAATTCTTTGTGAAAAGGAGTCGACATTTTGGTTCTTGTTGATAGTTATTACAATTTTGGCATGAGGAACAAACGATGGCTAGCGGAAACATTTTATTAGATCTTATTTTCTTAAATCCAAAAGAAACCATTCAAAAGAAAACTCATAATCCTCAATAATCAGGAGGAAATCACACAATCAAAAGCTTTCAATTCGTACTTCTTCTTCTTGTATCTTAAAAAGCAATGAATCACAAACTGGGAGTCAGGCTTTAAAAATCTGAAGCAGATTGAAATTAAGAGTGAGGTTTCGAAAATCAGATGTCGGGATGGTGTATAGGGACGAAAATTAGAAGGTACATTTTTTTTATCTATATCATATACTTCTGATGGTGTTTAGAAGTAATAAGTTTTTTTTTTTCATTTTTTGTGGTTCGTATCTTCTCAAATTTCAAAGCATTGAAGCACAAATATGTCAAAGTCCAATCACTGATTCATATTTTCTTGAATTTAGTAGTGTTGAAGCAACAATATGTTGACTTTTCATCCAGCTTTGAGGTTTAGAAGTTTCTTACTTTCAGATTTTTTTTGAAGTGTCAAAAATTATGAGGTAATTTTTTTATTTCTAATTATATTAAAAACATATAAGATTTTTTACATCTATTACATATAGAATAATGTTGACTATTCATAATATTTTTATATTTGAAGACAGAAAGTGAGAAAGTGAGAAGTATCATGTGTTGATTGTTTTTATATCTATGACATATAGATTAATGTTGACTATTCTTATTATTTTTTTTATTTCTAAAAAGAAAGTTTTCCAATTTGAAGATATTAAAGTATATTTACGATCTATAGTGATCCAAAAACGAATTAATGGATTGGTTTGGTTTGAATGATGATTGAAAACCATCCATTTTAGATAAAGTTATTTATGAATATATTATTAAGAAGTTTGATTCAACTAATATTAGAGCACGGTTGTTTTCAAGTAGAAACAAATTTATTTTTTAGGTTGAATGAAGTTTTAATTTATGTATTTTGCAATAAAATATAAAAGTTATAATTGTTTTGTTTAAATTTTTAGATCTTGACCTAATTTTTATTAAATTGAATAAGGCCTTTCAAATCTCGCAGCCGACCCAATGTCATGATAAGCTATAAAAAAAAAGATGGCAGCAAAGAGAAGCGAGCAAGAGAGGTTGAGTTGGTCTATGTTGAGGTCACCATACGTGGAAAAGGTTGTCACCAATGATTTGGCATACTTGAAGTGTTGGGTTTTTACTTTTTAGGGTATAAGTTTGAATAAGTTAGTTTTAGGTAAAATAAAATTACCCACATTAGTTTATACTTTATAGGCTTTATTAATTTGCTTTGAAAGCAATCTCGTCATTTCATTCGAACCTAACGGGGCATCTTAGACGGTAATAAGACCATGCATGTAAAATTTGAAAACCACAGGGACAAACCATGTAAAAAATCAAAATATTAGACTAAAGCTACAAATAAATATAAACCACATGCACCAAAGTTATAATTTACTCTAAAATAAGCAAACATTTTTTTTCAACTAATTCGTGTTCAATCATGTTGTACTTGATGCATAAAAGGTTGCATATCGTAGTAGTCATCTCTATAAGTCCAACACAAACTCTCATTCTCCCATAACAAAGGACAATATCCATTACCAGTTTTACACACAATCATGTTCCTTATGACATGTATTTCACGCATCAGAAGTTGTACCTCGCATTAAAACCAACTCCCTTATTGATATCATATAGTCCAAAACAAAACTATCTCCTAGGCATAAAAAAAAAAAGTATTCACATAAGTATGGTGCCATTCTTAAGTTGTGATATAGAAATCAGGCAAAACGAGCGGTTTTTGTCACCTGAAACTTCCATTGCACCACCATCAAAAGATATATCCTCCTATATTATATATCACAGTTGTCTTGAAACCATTATTATGTCTGCATCCATACAAAAAGAGAATAATGAATCATTAAAACACAGAAAAAAAAAAAAAAAAAAAAAAAAAAGGATTCAAAATGAAGAAGAAAATCATAAAGAGGGACTCACTAATTAAACTAAATCAAGGAGTGAGCATGACGTTGGGTTTTGATGATGGAGTAACCGAACCGGGGGTGCGACATCTAACCATGGTTGGGTCCCATTCTGAATCAAACATATAATCCAGACGCCTTCCTAACGATGGTTGAGATCGATGAAGCCAAGATTCCGAACCCCGATTTGTGTTTCCCGATTCAATAGTCTCCACATTTTTGCTGAAATCATAACTAGATGTTGCACTAACGGATTTTCTTGGAGTTCTCTTCCTTATAATTGAAGGAGTGTTCTTATAACTCATTGCCGAATTCCTCAGAATAGATTCTGGACTACTAACAGAGATGCTTAATGCAAGATCAGGAGGAGTCGAGCAAGAAAAATGGTTGTTTTCTAAAGAAATCGCTAAGTTCTTCAGCTGTGGTGGCTGGTAACACAAGGATCCATAAGAAGGTGTTCCACAAACTAATTTTTGAGATTTCCCTTCGCTGAATCCAAAAGTTGAAAGACTTAGAAATGAATTATCGGGCGAATTCCCAAATTTCAAATCTTTAACACTATCTGATTTTGACCTCTTAGGCGTTTCTGACGTTGTAAGAGAACTATCAGATGGTTCAACCTTACGGATTTTTGTATATCTAGAAAACCCCAAATTATCATCATCCGTAATAACAGATCTAGGGTTTCCAAGAGCCAGATTTGTTGAACATGGAACATTTCTCTTTCTAAGCTCAGGGGATGCTGTTCTAGTAGGAAAAACAGGAGGGATGTTTAGATCCAATCTCCTCTTCGAGCTATTCCAGTGGTTTTTAATCGCATTATCAGTCCTGTAATTCCCCAAAATGATAAAACACACGAAAAATAAAAAACAAAATTAAGAAAGGAGTGATTATTATTTTTATTTTTACCTTCCTGGAAGAAATCTTGCAATTTCTGCCCATTTGTTCCCGTATATGTGGTGGTAGTATGCGAGAGATGATTCTTCCTCTTCTGTCCATGCATCTTTCTTTATTGCTGGATCTAAATGGTTATGCCATCTGAAAACCAATACAACGTATTTCAAATTTATATAAAAAAATCACATGAAAAGTTGAAAACTTTATAAAAAAAAAAAAAAAAAGAGTTTTTTAAATCTTAATCACTACCTCTCACGACACTGTTTGCCAATTCGACCAGCTAAATGTTTTGCAATTAGTGACCATTTCTTACAGCCATGTTTTCCAACCAACTCCTTAATACGATCATCCTCCTGAATACAAATTTCAAAAGTAAACTTAATAAGTAACTAATGAACTATTTCATAACACAAGCCCAAATTTACCTCTTTGGTCCAAGGTCCTTTAACAAGATCAGGATTAAGAACTTTTTGCCAACGATGCAAGCACTGAACATCTGATCTTCCTGGAATAGATTCAGCTTCACAAGACAATGAAAAAAAAACAGAAATTTAGAATGTAATACATGAAGCAAAGTGACAACATGACTGCAAAAAGCACACCTATTTTCTTCCAGTTTCTCCCATTATACTTCTTCACTACTTCAGTCAACATAGCATCCTATAATGCAAAACATAGAAAGAAAATTAGATAGAATTGAAGAACCTTTTCCAACATAAATCTTCTAGTAGTGAATGATCTACAGTTTCGTATGGAAAGTTAATTAAAGAAAGAAAGAATGTGTTTTGAATACAAGAGAGAAGACCAACAAACCTCTTCATCTGTCCAGCCTGCTTGTGAGGAACGTTTAGTTTGACCACCGCTTCTATAAGCACAGAGTTTATCAGTAAATAATGACATCAATATAACATTAATACACAATAAATGAAACTTAAGAAGCTTACAAACGACTGCAGTGAGATCGTGGTGTGTAAGCATCACAGCTACTATCAGAAATTGATGAACACGAAGTGAATCCGACCTCTTTTGTCAAATCAAATGTATGCAGTTCCTCCTTTCCACCAGTCATCACATATATCTATCCGATTGATTGAGAAACGATTACCTGTAATCGATTAAAAGAATCAATGATAACCTAAGTTCACCATAAAAAGACGAGTCACCAGATTACAAAATTAAAGAACCCTATAGATGCATATAGGTCAACATTGATCGAAATCCAACAGCGAAAAAAGATTAAAGCTATTCCGACATCAATAAAGCATGCATTTTTCTCATATTCATCGATGACCAAAGGGGAAAATCTTGAAACTTGATTTCTAAATCAGTTGAAGCAATTAATTTCTGAATCTCTCACGAAAACTACCAAATCCATACCCTACATTAAGTAGCCCTACCGCAAGCAGCACCGACAACCTTTAAATAATCTACATTGCAATCGAGGATCAAAAAAGCAAATCAAAATTAAGTTTCACACAAACTGAAACTTACTTCGAGACTATTTCACTGCTCAAAAGATCCACCCGTTGTCAATCAATGATATACACATCTATATATAAAGAGTGACTGAGGGAGAGTAGCTAACCTAAGCTTTGTAACCGTCAAATTAATGGCAAAATGACAAAGAAAGAGAAAAAGTTTGCGGAAACAGATACGAGGGTATCTGTAGAGTAAATCGCCATTGAAAGAGGTTTGAAAAAATAACAAACCTTTGCTAGGGCTTTAGCGGAGATTTAGGGGCGGCCTATGGAGAGAGAAGAGAGTTTGGATTTGAGAGAGATTCAGATCACGACGGAATAGCGGGAAAATGAGAATGTGGAATTTTAGAGAGAGGGGGAGCATATAAAGCGTTCAAATTTTGGGGGTTTTTAAGCGTACGTTAGAAGATCAAGGTGGGGCCCTCGTAATATTTTCATAATTTGGTTTTCATTTATGGAAATATTCGTGTATAAATGTTAACTAGCAAGTGTTGTGACATATTGACATAATTTATTGTTATTTTTCATAATTATGAATTTTATGTTACCAATAAATATATTAGTTCTTTTAGTATTAATTATAAACTTACGTCAACTACGTGATGAGTAAAGTTTTATAATTTATTTTGTGAACGAAAAAAAAAACCTTTTTATTTCTTAATAAAGAGGAATGCCTTAATTGACACATTTATATTTTTTATTTCGAAAAAATATATGACTCGTTATAAGTGATAACATAAATGAGACACGTTAACAACATTTATATTTTTCTTTTATGAGATTCATTTAAAACTTCCAGTAATTTTCATTTTATCACATTCATTTGAAAATTTAATGATTTTTCAATTTTCTTTTTAATAATAATTATAATTGGTTAATAATATTAAATAAATATCAAACCTAAAGTGTAATCATATATAAACTAAATTTCAATATTAAAATAATATATTTACTTCTGTTTATAAAGTTATATTTTTTAACTTTTAACATATTATACTTAATTTAATAGTTTTAATATATTGTTAAATGTAAATCATTATCATTTTAAAGATACAACTTTGAAACAATTATATAAAACACTTAAATTATTAATTTAAATATAATATTACAGAGTCAATTTAAATATAAATTTTAGTTTAACTCAAACAACCCAAAAAATATTTTGTAAATAGTTAAAAGTGATAAATTGTATTGTCTTTCTAATAATGATTACAAGTTGATTAATAAGGTTAAATAAATATAAAACATAAAGTGTAATCATAAATAAACCAAATTTCAATTTTAAAATAATATATTTACTTTTATTTATAAAGTTATGTCTTTAACTTTTAACATATTATACTAAAATTATTAGATTTAAAATGTTGTTGTATATAAGTCATTATCAGCTACAGATGTTGAACATTTTGGACAAAATACTTAAAATTTTAATTTAAACATAACATTACAGTGTCAGCTTAAACATAAATTCCAGTTCCACTTAAAAAATCAAAGAATATTTTGTAATAGTTAAAAGTAATAAATGCAAAAACTAAATTGTAATATCAATTTAACTAAAATATTTCCTAAAGATATTTTATAATCGTTAAAAGTTTTCAAATAAGTAACTTAAAATAACTAACAATAACAATAATTAAAAAGAACTCTACATAAATGATTATATTGTTACCTTTAACATAAAAAAAACAATGTTTGATGTTTTAAATAATTATAATGATAGAAATTATAACATTAATCAAATAAATTTTAATATTTTAATTAATAATAATAATAACAACTATAAATAACATTAAACCAAATATTATATTTAATTTTATTCATATGCAACTCACGGGTAGAAGTCATTCAAACGATCTATATATTATCATATAATTCAAAATAATCAATATATTATATTAATTTAGTATACGAATTATTATACTAAATTTAACAACAACGTTATTGTTATATTTAAAAAACATATATTTGTAAAAACTTCAACTATATAGGTGTTTCTGTCCAACATGCGGGCATTCGTCTATCATATCATATCATATCATATTATATCATATCATATCATATCATATCATATCATATCATATCATACTATACTATAAAGAAAGCATTTTTCCTTTCACCACATTCATTTGAAACTCTCATGACTTTTCAATTTCTTTCTAATAATAATCATAATTGGTTAATAAGGATAAATAAATATCAAACCTAAAGTGTAATCATATATAAACTAAATTTCAATATTAAAATAATATCTTTACTTTTGCCTATAAAGTTATATTTTTTAACTTTTAACATATTATACTGCGAGATGGGTACTCGTCTCCACTTCAGCACCGATTTCCACCATCAGACGGACGGACACTCCGAGAGGACGATTCAGACCTTCGAGTACATGCTTCGAGCATGCGTTTTGGATTTCAGTAATAGTTAGGATACGTATCTTCCGTTAGCGGAATTTTCATATAACAACAGTTACCATGCCAGTATAGACCGACCTCCCTTCGAGATGCTCTACGGGAAGAAATTTAGGACCCCAATCTGTTGGGGTGAGGTTGGTCAGAGGGTCATGGGGAGTACGAAGGTAGTACTCAAGACCACGGAGCGGATCCAAAAGGTTCGGGGCAAGCTCCAGACTGCTCAGAGTCGGCAGAAGATTTACACCGACAAGCCGCATTCAGATTTAGAGTTTCAAGTGGGCGACATGGTCCTCCTAAAAGTTTCACCCTGGAAGGGTGTTATCAGGTTTCAAAAGCAGGGCAAGATGGGCCCCAGGTTCATTGGTTTGTTTAGGGTTTTAGCTCGGATTGGTCAAGTTGCTTATCGGTTAGATCTTCCAGTAGAGCTAAGCCAGATCCACAACACATTCCATGTTTCCCAGTTACGGAAGTGCTTGGTGGATGATTCATCAGTGGTACCCTTAGAAGGTATTCAAGTTGATTACAGCTTGAATTACATTGAGAAACCGGTGACGATTCTGGATCACAAGATGAAGGAGCTGAGGAACAAGAGGGTTGAGCTAGTGAAGGTGCAGTGGCAACACCGCAAGAGCTTGGAGTGGACTTAAGAGCCCGAGGAGGATATGAGGGAGCACTACCCAGAGTTGTTTTTAGATACAACAAACTTCGAAGACGAAGTCCAAGACAAGTGGGGGAGAATTGTAACGTTCGGTTTCTTGGTACGCGTTTAATTAAGTATTTATCTATTTTTTTTTAAAGAAGGACTTGACGAGTTGGTATCCCTGACTCGTCGAGTAGAAGGCAGTTTGTACGTGGGGGGTTTAGTGAGCTACTCGACGAGTCGCAGACTTGACTCGACAAGTAGGACAGGATGGATGAAACCCTAATCTTTAGGGTTTTTGATATGGACATATTTAGCTATATATTTGGTATAGAATTTTAATACTTTTTTGGCAAACTTATTACAATTTATGGACAAAAGGTACTTAATTATGTTTAAATTATATTTTTAGCCTAAAAGATGTGCTCAGAAGCAAAAGGAAGTAGGAAATGCAATCAGAAGCTCGGGAGTTGAAGAAAGAAGTTAAAAGAGTCAAAAACCATATCTACTCGGTGAGTTGGGTGCCTACTCGACGAGTAGACATGAACATTCGCGAAGCAATATAAGTCCTTGCCGTATACGGATTTTGAATGAGGGACTCGGCGAGTCGGTTACTGGACTCGGCGAGTAGACTCTGTTTTCAAAAATCTATAAATAGAAGTCAATTGCCCGAAATCAAGCCCTTCTCTGGAACCCTTGGGGATTGGTTTGCGACTAAAGGTGCAGCTGGAGCTCTGTAACTCGTGGAACAACCCTAGCTTTCAATTTTGAGAAGATCAAAGCCAACTTAAGTTTACTCTTTACTTAATCTTTTGTTTGAACTATGTGTGAACCATTAGATTTCGTTTTTGAGCTACTTTCTGTTGTAATCATGAACTAAAACTCGTATCTTCTGTTTAGGGTAGATGAATTTATGACTATTGTTTGATTTTATGGTTTGATTAATTGAATTTGGTGAGTTTTATTTTGTTAAGCTTGTTAAAGAACCTTATGTGTTAACAACAACTAGTTTATGTTAATTAACAAGTATATTAAGCTACATGAACATCTCTTAATTTCTTATCTTATATGATTTATGTGAAAACATTGTTATGTGCCTAAGAATAGTGAATGTGAAACTATGGTTAGCTAGAAAATAGGTAAGTTAATGTGTGAGCTTGTGTGACAAACCATCAACATGAAGATAAGTAAATTAGTAGTTTGATTAGCTAACTACAAGTCTTATTTAACCCGAATAAATAAACCAGGAAATTTATTAGTTTAATCACTTGATCACTGCTTGAATTGATTTGTTTCCTAAGGATTAGTAATAGCGAACGTGAACCTAATCACATTAATCGGTAGCCAATGACAAATTAATCCATTGCACTTGCCATGAAATCAACCATAAGAGTAAATGAATCGAACCTAAATAGAAGTCTTATCCATTATTGAATTTAATTGATTGTTTATTTGCTTTAGCTGTTAGTTGTTTAGTTTGAGTTTCTATACTTGCAAAACTAAAGAAATATTTCCCTTTTATTACTTGTTTTAGATAATTCTAGTAATTAGCTTAATTTCCGTTTCTTGTGTTCGATACCGTGCTTGCTTAACTATACCACCAATTGACAGGTACAATGTCTTTTGTGTGTCCAAATTATATTTTAAAAGTAGGACTAAAACTAGTGCATTTTACACACATCAAGTTTTTGGCGCCGTTGCCGGGGAGCAGCCATGGAAACATCCCATGGTTAAAATTTCCACAAATAACTTCCAAATCATCATTGGTCCGAGCTAAGAAGAAGTTAGAAACTTTGATGCGAAAGGAGATTTACGTGTGATTGATTAGAGTTGGATGGGACAAGCGGGGTTAGAAGAGGAATTGGCCCTATATGTGATTAAGACTTTTCGACGAAATGGACTTTCAATTACATGCGTTGGGTGGAACCGACTCTTCCGAATCCAAGAGCTGGTTTATCAAGAGCTTTGCTGGGAATTTTTCTCCACTGTTGTATATGAGGGGTGATGATATTTACAACCCCAATGCCCTCACTTTTTGCCTTGGTGGGGAAGTTCGACAGTGCAGCATTGTCGAATTAAGATGGATGATGGACATCTATAACTATTTTATGGTCATGACTGAAGAATTTAGTACTTTTATGGCGCATTGCCATAAAGATTTGCCCGAGGGTGTAGTTGCTTCTACTTGGTGAACCACTTTTACTAACTTGGTGTACATTCCATATTCTGCTCAAGAAGGAAGTATTCACTCACCCATCCACCGATTGATTCATCGCCTTATCGCTTGTTCTA